GTGTGTGTGTTCACCATCCCAAGTGCATTAGCTCATTTGAGTCTTGTCAGGCAGCACTTCTCAAACACAGTGACACAAATTGTTGGGGGAGGCAGTGTGTGTTCATGTGTGAGTGGACAGGCAAGTGGTCTGCATCATGAGAGCCATGCGTCCACATTAGCAGCCCCCCCCCCCCAAACTCTGCAGCCGCCACTGCTCCAATTAGGTTAGGAAAGTGCAATATCTGTCAGCAGAGGAGTACAAATGTGTGTGTTTTTATCAGCGTCGGGACCCTGCGGCGCAGGGGCCACAGCAAACTCCCACAATGCATGACAGAGAGGGGGGGGGGGGGGAGTGGGGCGGGGCATGCTGGTTCCAATCAGTCACTGCAGCCAATTGAATTAGAGTGTGTTTTAGTGCACTGGCCGACTCCAGACTAATGTGATTTCTGCAGCTCCCGAAGATCAATTGATCAGGTCTAATTCACAGCCCTCAAACAGAGAAAGACAGAGAAGAAGAAGGAGCAGCAGCGGGGGAGGGGCGGGGGGGCGGGGGGGGGAGTCTGGCTGGGCTTCGCCGGTCTCTGTTTGGGATCTTTGATTGAGGTAAATGAGCAGATGCTTTGATTTTTCTCAGCTGATTTTGGCCAGAGTGCCGGAATCGGGAATTACAAGAAGTGTGTGTGTGTGTGTGTGTGTGTGCGTGTGTGTTTTGGCAGCATCTGCAGAAATCCTTTGGAGGGGAATATTTTACTCAATGTTTGTGTGAGATACTGTCCTGTGCAAAGTGTAAAATAAGAAGAGAAAATAAAGGCAAAGTCAGATGAAAATGTTACATAGAAGGGGCTAAGAGAGAGAAGGAAGGATGAGCTCTGATAGATAAAAAGAACAAAAGAAAAGCAAACGAAAAAAAAATTGTAGAGAAACGTTTTTTGACAGAAAGCAAACAGGGCGAAAGAAATAATATAAATTAAAACTATAAATAAAAACATAAATAAAAATATAAATAAAAACAAATGTTAGAAAACACGCAGACATGTGAATGAAATAACTGTAATAAGTCAAATAAAAAAGACAGAAGAGAATAAGAGGAGGAAAATAAGCACTGGAAAATATGGAAAAAAAGGGACAAAAACAGGGGAAAAGAAATAGAGGAAAGTGAGGAAGGAAGGAATACCAAACTAAATAAAACCAAAGAAATAGAAATATTAATGACGAGGAAAAAGGTTGAGCAGGAAAAGGAAGTAAATGAAAATCAGGAATGAGTGAAGAAGACCTAAGAGATGAACAGATTATGTGGAATATCAATTCAAACTACTGATAAAGTGTGCAGCACCTGTCCTGTATTACTGGATCCTGCTGGCTAAACAGAAAACACACAGTGCAGAACCCAGAATCCCCTGTACCTCTCCATGTCCGTCAGCCGCGAGGAGTCCCGGAAGCCTTTGGCAAACGGGTTGCTGTCGATCTTCAGTTTGGTTATCTGGAAAACAAAGGAGGACAGCAGAAGTCAGGTAGAGCAGGTTCTCTCCTTTTTCTTCTGACTCCACCATGATTTGCATTTTTAGCATTTCTGTTAGTTTCTTCTTTTCCACGTTACCAAAGCAAAGTCCACCTTTTGTAAGGATTTTCTCATATTCCAACGAAAAATAAAAAAGTGAAAATGTGCTTTCTCTAATGCTTTAAACAAATATATATGTTTAATCCGGGTTAAAACACTAGTTGCATTCAATTAATCAAACTGAATTACAAAGGTACCACCAAATTTAAAAGAATTCCTCAGATTTCACAGGAATATATATATATATACTGTATATATATATATATATATATTAAGTAATGCTCTTATTGTTGATATTTTTAGTGCTAAACTGTTACATGTAGCACGCAATATGTGTAGACACTGTACTAAATAAATACATAAATAACATAAATAAACGTAACTGTCTGTTTCTCAGACCAGCCCACATAAACTTGTGATCTGCATTTTCTCAGAACTAATCAGTTTTTTAGAGTTTTTTTTTTGTCGGTATCTGCGCACTAGGGGGCACTGCCCACGTTTTTCCTCCTTTTAATTTAAGCTTTCAGGGAGAAGCTTCTTTGATGACCACAGTGACTACAACCTTGTTTGAAAATTAAGCCAATTGTGCTCATTAAAATAACAGGATTAAAATAAAAAAGCACCTGTGAGCAATTCTGAGTTTGGAGAACTGAATGTGCTGAATGGGCTCTTTTTCAACTCCTCTAGAGCAAACTGAGTTTTATCCTGGATGATTTGATTTGGCAGTGAAGTTTTTGTCCTTTTTCATAATTATACTGTGTAATTTTGAGCAGTTGAGCATCCGGCACAATACCAAAAGTAAATCCATGATCAGTCCACTCTGCACTTTACATCTTTGTTTAAAAATCCACCAGATTTTTTTTTAATCAAAGGCTCAAAAGCATCAATCTGTTTATTTTATTTTGATTTATTATTCTTTACTTTTGAAGTAGCATAAGAACCAAAATATGAGCCTTGGTGGGGACTTTAGGCCCCCGTCTTGCCCCCCACTCACCAGCTGGTTCTGATAGGCTGTGACGGCGGTGAAGACCGTCTCAATGAAGACGAAGGTGCGAAACTCCTCAGATTTGAGATTGAGCAGCGAGGCGGTGTGGTCCTTCTTCTTTATGATGTGGACCCGTGGTTGGTACTTGTGCATGGAGTTGAGGATGATCTGTGGAGTATGAGGAGAGCATAAATCAGATGATGGCACAGCCCAGCCCGGGCAAAACCCGGCCATCACACTCAGTGTCACGTCAGGGCCACAGAGAAAAATTAAAGGTCCCCTCTTCAGCTGATCTTTTATTTTTCTGTTATTTCCAACAATAGAGGGCTACAATCAATAAATGCAGTGGCCTCTGTCAGTTCAAAGCCACATATTTGTCCCATGTGTAGCAGGGACGAACGACAGACATCAATGAGCAGCAAAATTTTCTCTTCACAAAATATAAGCAGCTCAAAGCTATAAAGCTTCACAGTCCCTGGTTTTTCATCCACCCTCTGTGCCAAAAATAATTCCCGCAATTATCAACTAAACTCATTATGGATTCTGCTTAACACGGCTCAGCTTGAACAGAAAAAAAGATTCCCAGTTGTTTATCATTTATTAATTTAGTTTTATATTTGTGTTTTATATTTGAACACTTTTTCCGTTTGATTTGATTATTTTATAACATCTTAAATGAGTTTTAAAGGCATTAGTTGAAATTCTAATCCTAAAAGGTTGTAATGATTTAACATCTGCTGCTTTTGCCTCTTTTTTAAAAGTGTAAAGTGTATTAAACAAATATGTTTATATGACTAGTATTTACAAAGTATTTCTCTCATTTTAACTAATTAAAACTTGTTTAATTAGTTAAAATGCTTCATAGAAATACATTTATTATTTTGACAGAAATTATTATTTTCTAAGCACATTTCAGGCTAAATGTAATTAAAAAATACAACAGATTTGCAAAAACTGAATGAAAAATACAACAGATTTGCAAAAACTGAATGGCAAAATAATTGTTTGAATTGTCTGCCTTTTATAATACAATGAGTAAATTAAACTAATATAAAAGTTTCTGTAATATTATTTCTTAATCTCCTTGTATTTCGTAAAAATCAGAAACCTAAAAATTATCTCAGCATAAATTTGATGGAAAATAATCTAACAAAAGCGACGTGAATAAAGTGGATCCAGAAGGTTTTTTGTTTGCTTTAGCGTCGTCAATGTAATTCATTTTGAGTTTCTATTTGGACTGAAAATAAGGGGAAAAAAATACCATACACGCCCTTTAAGATAATAATAACCTTCTCTCTCAGACCGTCTTAGTTGGCCAATTAATGGATCAAATCCGAGAGTGTTTTTGGTGGTGTGGGTGTTTTTCTGGCCCATGCTTGCCTTCGCCATGACACCTTGTGTGAAAGGAGGATTATATGAACAATGTCCTTGTGTCAGGCGAGTTATCATCCTCGTCAAAATGTCACTGTAAACTTTTATTCATGCACGTAAGACAACAGAATTCAGTCGGAGAGGTGGATTTGAAATATCACTCTCATCCATTTCCTCAGTTAAGCTCCTAACGTGTAACATTTACGAGCGACTTACAAATCCAATTTGAACATTGCTTTTTGTAAGTACTTTTAAATACGTAGGAGAATTAGTTTATCTCATTTTTGTTGCGGTGGTGTGATGAAGTAGCATAAGTAGACGGAGCCATACACCATTCTCAGCGCGGTGAGGCCTCTAAGTGGCTTATTACCGATAACACGGACGAGCTAAAACGCCTTCTATTGTTGCTGCCTTCAAAGCACAAAAGCATGCGAAAGAAAAGGGGTCTCACATGTCCATGTTGGTCTAGCTCGTTGTTTGTCAGCTTAACTTTCTCGAAGGAAACCATTTGCTTCATCAGTTGCTCTCCGGTGAACGGCGAGTCCGGGTGAACGTACAACCTGCCGAAGAAGAAGAACTCGTCAACTCTGATTGGCTAAGAGGTGCTCGAAGCCCAGGTGTCAAAACCAATCAACAAGCCGAAGGTTTTGCCCTTAACTGGCTCATCAGTAGCTTAGCAACCATGTCCGAGTTCCAGGTTAATTTTATGGAGAAAAAAACGCCATTTTTTTCCGTCCACCCCTCCTATTCAATTGTTGTAGAGAAAGACCGTTAAAAAATAAAAACATGTTATAGTTTATCGTTATCTTTTGGAATGAAATGGGCCCTATTTTGGGGCTAATTGGGTAAATGTGATCCAAGGACGCCCCAATAATGCAAAAGACGTAGCCCATTCGAGTCTTAGTTTTTTTTTTTCAATTGTGTTGTTTTTTTTTGCTGGAATTGTTAGGTTTTGAATTACTGAGCCAAATGTGACCAATATCAATATTGTGAAAATATTTGAAAACGTATGTGGCTATGGGTACTTATCAGATACTTCCTGTAATTTTTTTTCACAAATTGTTGGTGATGTTCAATTCCGAAATGAAAACAAAGGTAAAGTCCTGTCGCTTGTTTTTTCCTCCTTTTTTTCCTGTAGCTAAAGGTCATAATTGAATCATCCAACAGCTTGTCAGGTTGAAGGGCAGAATAAATAAAAAATGCCTTGGCATATTCATGATTTCCTTATTTCCTTTCCTTTTATGCTTCATAAAGAAGAAAAAAAATCATGCAAACACCTTCCTCTCAATTTAAAATGAAAGAGGCTCCATGATTTAATTTGTTCCTCAAAGACGAACTCAAACAGCCTTTGAAACGATTCACTGTTATCTCGATTCAAAAAAAAAAAAAAAAAAAAAATCGTATAACAATATACATTAACATCTTGTGAATATTTGAACTTTTGGGACCAGAATTATAAGAAAAACAGGGGCGTTTTGTAATAGTTTTGGAGGCTTCATTAAAGGTTTTTCTTACCTTGCAGGCAGAGGGGGGTCGGCCTTGCCGGCCACCAGCCAGGAGGAGCGGTGGTAGGCGTACCGGTACCGTTTGTTGTCCACGGGGACGATGTCCATCAACACGATGTACTTAGAGTCCTGGTCCACGCCGGAGAAAGAGACCCGGATGGTTGGAAACATCCTCCTGAGGGTAAAATTATTATTATTATTATTATTATTATTATTATTATTATTATTATTAT